TCTCGATCATGAACCTATTTCACGCAGGTTTAAGCTTCACCACTTAAAGCAAGTTGTTTCCAAAGTTGTGATGTTACTGGTCCCATGGAAAATATACATATAAAAAATACAAACTACTTGGAAGTAACTAGTTATTAAAATACAAATCTTAATCGTAGACTCCAGCCCACATAGTGGTCTTTCAGATCTATATCTGTGTTAAACATTCTTGAGCTCCAAAAACGTCTTATAATAACAAAAAGGCAATACTTGTGTACATTAACATGTATTTATAGAGATTAAAACATATACATCTGGAGGTAAAGTAGCCTACTAAACTTAGCCTTTTCCACTTAGGACATAATTGTAATTTAATGTGACTGAACAATATAGTTATGACACAATTTCTATATGGTTAAGGAATAGATTAGATATGAACACACCTTGTTTTTGTTAGCTAATAAGACTCAAACACAGTTGTACTTAAACAAATTACCCGCAACTCATGTCTACGCACAGGCCCTGCCTATGTAGACCATTTTCATATAAGTTGATAAGGTTTTTTTTTCTTTGTGCCATTTAGTTTTAATATTATTTTGTAAGTTATTTTTAAGTCAAGGATTGTGTAATTTATCATGTAAAATACCATTAACTGTATTTTTCAGTTAAAAAATAAACATTATTTCATTTCATTTCATTTCACTTCCGTGATGTTACTTAGGTAGGAGGTCACAGATTTACATTAAGAAGAAAGTCTCGTCACTTTCAGAGACGACTTTTTAGGAAGGAAAAGTACACAAATCCCTCCAGCTTAAGCTTTATTGAGAAAAGGCAATGAATCCTTAGATCCTTCAGTTGTTACTGAGAATCCAAGTCTTCTACTTTTTTTGATAACGCTTATAAATAATATAAATACCCAATATTATTTCCTTCAAACAAATATAAAATAGAAGAGTTAAACGTGTAATATTCCATAATAAGGATTCAACCCTTTAATGATGAACTACTACGTTCTGCGCAATGTTTCAAATTTTATTTTGATTTGAGGATGTTTTATTTTTATTTTTGGAGTTTTGTGCGTTGAATTATAGATCAAAGGAGTAGACACTCTTTTAATATATGGTATACTCCATTAATCTATGGTTCAGTATGCCAAAAAACTGTATTTCTTTTCAAGAACGGATATCTATATTGGATTATCTGCGTTTATTTTGGAAATATAATATTGGAAATATATACAGCATTATATTAATAGTGAATTAAATTGTCAAATTTATTTTATTATTCGTGGGCAAATAGCTTAACATAAATGAAGAATGCTTAGTAATCTGCTCATCTGAAATAGTAGATTTATAGTTTAGTGAATTTTTTTTCAGCCCTGTTGTATATTACAAAAACATTTAATAAAATCAATTACTATTCACTCCTTCGTTGCTTCCCCATTTAAGTTCACTCGTACAACAATCTTGTTTTCCTGTGACGATGTGCTTAAAATTATAAAATTTTAATTCAATTAAACTAGGAATTTATTTCACAAAAGATACATTTTACAGACAGTCATACTGTGCACATAAATTTACGATTTATAATTTAGACGTACATTGTCAGTTCTGGCACAATTAGAGAAAGCGCAAATATTTTCTTTGTTATTACATTAATTTATACAACAATGTTCAAAAACTATAACCTAAATCTATGTAATTCATATTATTTAAATTTATTTTGTATGATATGTTAAACGTTGTGTCCAATATTACATCCACCTGAAAGGGAAAATGCCGTAATTTCAAAACAATACGCTCCTTCACACCTCCAATGCAAGCCAATGTACAACAACGTGTAGGTGTTGCTTGTCAAGAGTTGTAGGCGTGTGCAAACTACTGTGGGAGCAAGTGGCGTAATATATCATGTCTGACGATTGTACTGATAGATTGTAACAATAGCAGTATATGATAAAATAATATAAAATATAATTGTTCAATTTCTGTATACTATTGTCTTGTAAATCTACTTACATTTCTGTTTTTTGTTGTTTGTATTAGTTGTTTGTTGTGTGTCTTTGTTTTGTTCATGTTTGTTGTTTTTTCCTTCTTCAGTATGTTTATAACGTATTGGTTTGGTTTATATTAGAATGCTCTTTCTAAGCTTTAAATAATGATGCTGTTACAAAAACTGCTTTTTAAATATATGCCTGGTTCGTATTTTATGTTTATTAGTTATACAGTTATTACTGTACTACTTTTATTATTATTATACTTTTATTTACTAACAAAAAGTTTCATAAAAATAATTATTTATGTAAAATAAATAATATTATCGTTTTTTATCATTATAAAGAGTACGTTTATGTTTTGTTAATTATAAAAATGTGCATATGTTAAATTCTATAGTATAATTATAAGCTTAGTAGACCTATCCTATTAAAGATACACTCCTTTATTCTATGGAATTAGGTGAACAGTTGTCACACCCAAACGTCGTTGTATTTGGACCCGTTCATTCGATTAATAATTTATTTTAA